CCGATGATCAATGGTTTGAGAGGAAACAAATTCTAATCCGGCAGCTGATGAATGCATGCCGAGGCTGGAGCAATTGAAGTGGTGGGAGGGATGGAGAGGTTGGGGGAGGGGGAGTATGTGTGGTGTGGGGGGGGGGGGCAAAGGCGCCTCCGGAATTTCAAACAACCACTGGAGAGGCTCGTGCTATCAGTGCCCCCCCCCCTTCTCCCTGCTCTAAAAAATGGATTAACCACCCCCAAAAATTTCCCTTGGTGGCGCAAGAATACCCAGTCAGGTGAATGATGGAGGAGCTCATTGATCATCTCGACAAAAGTTTATTCAGTAAGCAGCCTTCTACAACTACTGTAGTTTTAAAGGGTTGGTTCACCCAAATCACACAAAACATTTTGTCTTTCTTTAGTCTAGTTTGGGTTTTGTTTGTTCCGGTCTGTCTCTTAAGATCTGTCGATGGGAGGTGAGTCAAATGTATGTTACATGCAGCAACATGTATCTCCAGAAACAGTAAGTGTGTGTCTATCCACCTATTTTATGCACATTTTTAACTTGTGTGAAAATGTCGAAAATTAAAAAAAATTCTCGATATATTGTACAAAAAGTTTTTTTACGCTTTGCTCAGTTGAAAAACTTGGTGAATCGATAAATGTGACGAAGTGGACACAGATACATTGGGTCCGATTGAAACAGCGTCCTGATCGCTCCACGTGGATCTAATGTAACGTTTCTGACATTAATATATGAAACAAACAGAAATGTCGTAATTCACTGAGTTCTCCAAACCATTTTCCTACATTGGGTTCTCTATATTGTTTTTCAGCGTTTGAGGTCAATTGGCGCTCTTTTAATTTGGTCATCTGGTTGTGTCCCCTCCTCTGCGATGGTATAATGACTTTCTGACTTGAGAATTGGAACCACCTGCTGCTTAATTGCAAAGCGGTAGCAGATGGAAACAGGTGTTCGTTTTGCATATTCTTTTGCAGATTTCCTCAAAATTCTATTAAACGTTGCGATACATTTGGATAGAAACTTGACTATTGTCGCTCCCTGCGGATTAATCCACAACACAGTCATTGGGACTATTTCTTCGGTACTCAACAGTTCCCACCAAGACATCAGACATGCTTGCTTTCGTACAGTATCTGTGCCTCCATGTATGTATTCCAGCATTATGCATTTTACTTCCTACACCCCAGTAATTGGGCGGTCACTGTATTTGGGATTTAGCTTGACAAAGCTCAGAAAAAGCTTTGGCATGACACCACTCCCGCATTCTCCACAATGGGCGGGGGGGCCTGCACACTCAGATTGGGTTTTGGGGTCCACTGGGCTAAAGCCTTGTGGAATAATTTAATTGGTGTCTGTTTTTCTCTCATCAAATAGGTACCACTGAGCCGTACCAGGCTGTAATGCACAGTGAATGCCTTTTGACTGAAACAAGGTATTGGGCATCGACTGCCTCGATTCTCTTTCAAATTCGGATTTGAGCAAAGCATGAATTTTAATTTCATGTTGTATCTTCAACCTCTTCAAATATACATGCTGTCTTGTCAGCCATGGATATGAAGTGTATGTCAAGCCTGCTACATATGTTATTCTGTTTCCTTTCTATTTTTTTAAGCAGACCCACAGTTAGAAGCCCTCTAGATATGGCAGACAGCTCTGCTGTTGTAAGCCTGACAGAGATGCATTAGAAATGTATATATTTATTACCAACTATAATATTATAATCCAGCGCTGAAGGCACTGAGTCCCAGGCACAAGGCCTCTAAACCGTCATCCTCTGATTGTGTTGGAGCCTGGGCCTTTGAATTCATTGCAACCAAACCACGCTTAATTTGCCTCCTCCCTTGAGAGCCATTAGCGTCTGTGGCATCAAACTGGCGGAGCAGCAAAAGACGAGTGGCAGGTACGCGCCATCCATCTTCCCTCCCCAAAGGGTGAGCCGGGGCTTCCAGTGCGCTGCCAGTTTGAGGAGTGTTTGCCACACAAGAGCCCAGCGAGCCGGCTGGCTACATGCTGGCGCTGCCACAGATACAGTTTGGGCAAATCTCTGAGGAGCCTTATCAGCCGCTCCACTTCTTTAGCTCAGCTTGTCGAAGACACTAAAAAAGATTGAAGATTTGAGTGTATGTGATGAATGTATGTATTGTTCCCATAAGGCGGTGTTTAATCATTTACAGTAGTGGTGAAAGTAGCACAGGAAGGTACGGGATGAATTATGCAGCAAAAAAAGTGGATGAGAAGCAGCCAGAAGTTTGGATGTTCGGCTAAGAACCCTGAGGGTCTTTGGATCTTTTACATTTTTTTTATTTGTATTTGATTTGATGTTATTGAATGGGTCTTATATATGGATTCCATTTCCTTAGTAAGTACAATCAATGCGTGTATAGGCTGAAAAATCTCAGGAATAGAATTTCATTTTTTCAGAGTCCAACAACCTCAGCTTGAATGTTGGTGTCCACTAGCATTACCTCATACACACCTCATACACACCTGTAAGAAATTCATTTGAACTGATGTGCTTACTTCATTAAATTTCACTTAATCAGACATAGATTGTCCTGATCAAAAACTAAACTATAGTTGAGTTTTTCGCACATTGTGTTTCTTGCTAATCCATCCATCCATCCATCAATCCATCCATGTAAATGAGTGTGAATGATTAGTTAGAGTCCTGATTGGCAGGTGGCACCTTGCATGGTAGCCCTCATCAGTGTATGAATGGGTGAATGATGACATGACATTAAAGCACTTTGAGTGGTCAGACTAGAAAAGCGCTACACAGTACGCAGTACAGTCCATTTACCATTTATCTATCGATCGGTCTGTCTGTCTGTCTCCGTCCGTCCATCCTATCATTCTCAGAAACACACAAACACTGGTTGTTCACAGATAAGAAGATCTTCACCCAGAATTTCTCAGAGCAAAGTAATGTGACAGTCTTTTCAGCTATGCAGGCCACCTTAAATTTGAAAAAAAAGAGTGAGGACAGACGGCGAACAGTGAAACAGGACTGTTTTGATTCAAGCTGGCAGGCAAAAAGCTTAAAACATCACTTTTTTACACGAATACCTTCCATCATTTATAATAGAGAGCCTTGAGTGCATGCTATCTGAAAATGACTCCGATTACTGGAAGACAAGGACACTCGCCCCTGCATGGTGAGAGGCGGCTGCATTGTGACTCTTTGAGTTGTAAGATGCCGTACAAAGTGCTGCTGTTTTGCTCAAACACGCTCATTATCTCGCACAAATCTATCATTTCTTCCTCTTTTTTTAAAGTTTTTTTTTTAGATCAATTACTCGACTTTGTAAGGACAAAAACAGATGAAATATCTATTTCATGTGAAGGCCTTCCGGCAATGCACATTTGTGCGGAAAAGAGAAAGGACAAGAGATCCCACAAATGTATCTAAATTTAGATTGCTCAAAGGAAAAGGCATAATTCTTTTAATTAAGTCAGCACTAATCCATCCAATTGGCCCTCTTTGTTTTCTCCCACCTACCATGTTACAAGAGATATCCGTCATTGTCTCAAGGTGTGTTGACAGTGGCTCTTAATTCTGTAGATATTCATGAGGGCACAATCTATCTGCTTCCTTTGCCTCGGGGAAACATACTTTCTGAAGGTTAATAAACAACCCTGAATATCCCGAGCCCTGAGATCATTTATCAGATTGCGATCTCTTACAGACTCTGAGAGTGGCATGCCGTTTTATCATTTTAACAACGACGGCTAAAAGTGCCTGAAGAAGTCTGCCTAATAGGTTATTTTGTTATATGATTTCGTTATCAGATTTTTTTTTCCTTGCTAGTCTGGTCTAGGTCGCTGTGAAGTAACAGCCCTGAATCCGTAATGAATACTCACATTAATGTCCCCGGAGCAGGAGGAGAAATAATAGGGTCCTCCCTGGGCAGTAGAGCTAGCCATGGCCCATCTATTTCTACAGCACAAGCTGTTGCCCTGCTATGCTTTACTGCGCTACTGTTGCCCGGCTCTGTACAACCTATTTTGGAGACCCTATCTGTCTCAGCAGCTCATGTTAGTGTGTTTACCACAATCTCTTTGACAGCTGTCACTCTGGTTCTCAGAGGCACCGAGAAGCAGCACAAGCAGTCGGCCTCTTGTACTTCTGTTCTAATGTGTGGGACACAGTGGTGGGTGGAGTCAAGTGCACAAATTCTGGACTTGTTTCGTCCATTGGGACAATGGAGTTCAACCGTTGTGTTCCCAAAACATTTAGGAAAACTGAAATCTCGTGTCTTGATCATTACCTACGCCAAAGAGTTTGTATTTTTGGTTTGGTTTGGTTGTCTGTTTGTCTGCAGGATTACGGAAAAACTACTAGCCCCATTTTCATGAAAGTTGGTGGAAGGGCTTAGCATGGACCATAGGAGAATCCATTACATTTTTCCGATACACATTACTTTTCACTTTCTTTATCATTGCGAGATAGGGCATATGGCCTTGGTGGAGGTCTGCTCTCTCCCAGTGCCCTTCTACTTTTTATTGTTTTTATATAAAACTAATGGACTGACAAATCCCCTGATGACTTTTCATCAGAGCATGTATGACAGCAGTGAGCTTTTATATTAAATGTTATATCATGCCATCAACAGTCAGTGGGAAACCTGTACGCTCTGGAAAAGATCCATAAGACCCACACCTAAATAACAAGTAAAACTAGAAGGCCAGACCTCTGCCAAGGCTGTTCTATAAGTTAAACAATGTGTGTATCCACCCCATGATTTGGAACTGCTTCGTAATGTAATGGGTTTTTCCTTGGCTCGTGCTGCAGTCTTCAACCAAGTTTCATGAAAGTATGGCCAGTAGTTTTTCCATGATCCTGCTGACAAACAGGCAAACAAACTGGACTGGAAACCCCTTGGCGAATATTAAAATAAAAATGAATGAAGTCACCTCCCAGACTTCCTGTTGTGTACTGAGATTTTGGGGGAATGACTAACATCGTGTGTCTTCTTTGTGTTTTTGTGTTATCTCAGGTTGTTTGGCGTTACAGGGAACTGCGCGGCCTGCAGCAAGCTAATTCCAGCCTTCGAGATGGTCATGAGGGCCAAAGAGAACGTCTACCACCTGGACTGCTTCGCGTGCCAGCTCTGCAATCAGAGGTGAGTGATTGGACCGTACTCCTGCTCCTCTCTTGTACCTGCGTCGAGGCAGATGGCCGGTCAGGGAAGCGAGACTGCAGCATGGTGAATCTCAAGTGCTGCTGAAAGTTGAAACAAAGATCCCACATTGTAGATTCATCACTCTAACCAGTGACCAAGAAGACACAACCGGGGCCTCGGGGACACCTGCTGGACCTGGCGCAGTGATTTCAATCCTACACTACTGCTGTACGCTGTCCGCCTAGAGCGACAAGTGCAGTTACATGTCCATACATATGCTCCCCGTCAGTCTTCATGACCAAGCCTCCTTCTGCATTCTGTAGACAGGATGTGGTCAGAGATTTTAGGACATACAGCAGCAGAGGAGAGGGAGCTGGTTGGAAGCATTGAACTCAGTGATATAAAAAGCCTTGTTTAATAAAAGCTAGTGTCACCCTTACTGAACCTCTCTGGTACCCGTACAATGGGTTTATTATGTACATTGTTTCAATTTATTACAATCCAATACAACAGCCCTAAAATATGTCCCCTCCCCGTAAAGCCTACAACATTCAGTATCTGAGTTCATAGTTATTGGTTGTGGATTGATTTGTAATAGTGCTTTTGTCCACCCTCCTTTACATACATGGATGGAGTATTAGAAACATTGAAACAGAAGTTTCACAGTGAGGCAAAAACATTGTCAGTGACAGTGTAGTGTTTGATGGACCATTTGAAAAAACACGATTGCCAATTTGGACATTGGTCTCTGTAGCGGTATGCAGTGTCTCCTTCAAATGAACCAGTATGTATGACACTTTATGACAACCATGTCTTAAGGCAACAGTGTTCATACTATTCTGAACGGCTGTAGTCTTTTTATGAATAATAGTTTAAATGGACACGATGGAGCACACTTTCAGATAGTCTCTCATTGAAATGGAAGTAGCCGTTAACCAAGGGTTCGTCAAATACCGACGCCTGGTCAGTAGACCTCGGCGTCTGATACCGATGCACCGCGGCACTCTTTAATGTCTGCTTTCCACTAACTCCTTTGTAGACCGATTTGAGTCTGAATTAGAACAACTGACACAGTGAAAAGAGCAGGAGAGAGGTTGGATGGGTCAAACAAACACAGGACTTTCACTCAAGAGAAGGCTGTTCTTGTCCCGAGTAAAACCAAGTCAGCGTATACCGTAGTTGTTTTACATAACTTCCATACTTAAGTTACGCTAGTTATAGAACAAACATTCTAATTTTACAAAACCAACATCCATATTTCAACCCAAACCATGATCTTTTTCTGAATCTGAGTAGTTTCGTTGCTAGGTAAATCTAAGTAAACCTCTGTGGGAAGTCTGTATTTGAAAAGATGTATGCATGTAACAAGTGGAAACTAACAGGCTGTCCCTGACACGCCCAAAACCTCCTAGAGTAGTACCTAGATCATGATAGTTTGCAGTGTAGGGCCACTGACCAAGTCGTTGGTATCTGACGAGTTGGAGGATGAGAAAGCAAATGTGTTGCTAGTAGTTGTACACATGAACAGTGGAATAACACACCGCAAATCCCTTAAATGCTGTCGGAAGGAGGTTTTCAGACGCCATTACAAGATCTCACAAACTCTTTGTTCAAAACCGTACTAAAGCCCTGCATGCCCGGGGCCCCAAAAAGTCTTCTCAACGAATGTTAAATTCCTTTGGACAATGTTCCTGCAAGGTTCTCAGAACCATGCTGCCACGTTTCTTTGAATGAGCGCTGTCTGAAAATCTTCTTGAAGCTAATGAACATACCAAAAAGTTATCAAAGGTTTTTTGAAGGTTACACCATCAACATCACAAACAGAGAACCTCAGGAAGGTTACGTGTTGGCCGGCGTCCTGTTTCTCTCACCTCTGTTCCCAAACTTGCCTTTGTTGCAGATGGATAAATGGTAAATGGACTGACCACTCAAAGAACTTTAACACTGCATGTCATCATTCACACAACATTCATTCATACACTGATGACAGGGGCTACCCTAACCCATGCAATGTGCACCTGCCCTTCACAACTAACTAACATTCACACACTGCAGGAACAGCCTGCAGGAGCAATTTGGGGTTAAGTGTCTTGCCCAAGGACACGTCGATATGGACTAGCAGAGTCGGGGATCGAACCACCGATCCTCTGATTGAAGGACGACCCTGCTCTACCACTGAGCCACAGTCACCCACAAGCACCCAAATGCAACCACACACACACACACGACCCAGACACATTGAGCATGCTAAAGGCAAAGGACCTTGTTACGCACAATTAGCACTCGGTTATTGTCTTGCCACTTCAGCCGGTTGCACCAGACAGCCTCTCCTAATGGAAGAAGTCAGCTAATCTTCATCAGCCAGACCCAGGCAGGCCAACTCTGCTCCCCCACATTAAAACCCATTAAAGCGCCAGCAAATCTTTCTTTTTACATTAGGCCAGTTGATGAACTGTTGAATAAAATCGACGTCAGTGTGTTTCACATGGTCCGCTGTGGCCTCGCAAGCACCGTTCAGATGCCCATCACAATTTCACCGGGGCCCGGCCAAGATTTATGGCGTGGCACCAGCTTTAATTGAAGCTGTTCCTCAGCTCTGACTTTTTGTTTTCCAGTTTGTTTCTCTACAATGGGGGAGAAACACCTGTGCAGGAATATGTATTTAAAAGCGAGTTCACATCCTAGAGACAAGAGACAATGGGAGTGTAAACTTACAAAATAAAGCTCTGATGCATGACAAGAGCCTACTAGCAGGCTGTTGTTCTCAGAGGGACTCTTTTGGAGTTTTATGCCACTGCAAGATTTAGTCTCGAAGATTTTGAATTCAGAACAGGTTTAAGGTGACAGTTCACCCCAAGATCCAAATGACATATCTTTCCTCTTACCTGTAGTGCTATTTATCAATCTAGATAGTTTTGGTGTTGGAGTGTTTGAGATATCTGCCGTTTAGATTCCTGCCTTCTCTCCATTATAATGGAAGTAGATGGCCCTCTGCTTGTGGTGCTCCAAGCACCAAAAAATCAATTTGAGAAAAAACAACAGAAACCATGACAATGTTACTCAAGATAATCCACAGACCTTGTTGTGAGCAGCTTCATGTAGGAACTATTTTCTTTCTATCTAACTACACCTACCAGCTCAACTTATCCTCATACAACGGGTGGTATGATATCTTACAAAAGTTAAGCCCATTATTTTTCGTAGGTATAGCTACGAGCGCTGGATGAGAACAGCCTGGCCAGCTGCTTCACCGCGCAGAAAGAAATGTTCACTAAAAACTTGTCCGATGAATATTTATATTTTTGGGTGCTTTGAGCACCATAAGCCCAGTGCTATCTACTTCCATTATATTGGCAGACACCTCTACACCCGATATCTCAAACCTTCTCATCTCAGACCAAAACAATCTAAAATGATGAATAGCACTACAAGTGTAAAAATATGTCTTGTTGATTTGGGGGGGACTGTGTCTTTAATGCTATCAGTGATGAACGCAACATCACTAAATAAGTCTTGTCTGAGCGAGTTTCTCAACATTTATATCCAGATTAATAGAATGACCTTTTACAAATGTTCCCAGCCTGAGATCTATCAGGAGATCTCACTTAAGATTTCCTGAATAGTTTCTCAGCGTCTCGTTGCCTGGAAATGGGCTTCTGGTCTTTGTCTGGCATACCGATCTGCCGCCTTGTTCATCTACACCCGCTCTGTCCCCTCTCGTTTCCCAGCCTCAAACAAACATGAAAGCCCCCCTCCCCTCATCGACCCCCCCCCTTCCCCTGACGGGCCCTTCAATAAAGCAATCTAATCCATCTCACAAATGGCCCAGAGATTTCTCTGCGGAACATCATCAGAAAATGTGAAATCTGATAAACAGAGCAAGCGATCCCGAGGTCAGCAGGGGTCCCGCGGTGTAATTACCCGTCGCTCTTGCGGGTCAGTCTGTGTTGCTGTTTGAAGGTTGGATCGCTACAATTAAGTGTGAACATACAGCCACCCCCCCACCGCACCCAAACATACTCACTCATGCATCTATCCGTGCCGTCAGTTGCTTTATGGGTACATCCACGCTACTCTATCCCACAGTGATTATTCTAATTTCATCACAGGCTCTCTGCAGGACTCTAATGGTCATTACTAAGCTATTCAGGGCCTTGTTTAAGTTTTAGGCCAGTTTGTGCCAGACAGAAAGACCGGCCCGGTGGCTTAGAGTGGACAAGTCACGGCAATCATGACCCACAACCGCTTTCTTCTTCTTTGTCATCATCGCCATCAAATTGGCAGCAATCTCTTGCTTGCCACGAAAGAAGCATTGAGAGCTGAACCTGCTTCAGGAATAAGATAAATGGAAAAGCCTCACCAGTTATCTTACTTGTTTATCTGCCAGAGAGCAAAAGTCCACCCCCAACCCCCACTCCTCTCTTCGGTCCGTGCACGACTTTGAAATGGTATCAAGCTGAGGGGAGTGAATAGCTCCTGTCCCTGGTCTATCAGTGGAAATATAGGATCCTACATTGGCTCTGATTGCTCATGTCTGCACCAAATGTGGCCTTACTCTGTTAAACTGGACATAAATCTACCGTCGTGACCTTCCCACCAGCCAGACCTGTTATTTTTCCTACCTGAGCTGGAGGAAGGGAGTGGTCTCGGAGCCAAAGGGACAGGGGGGCTAGTTCTGAAAGGAGAAGGGGCTGTTGGCGAGGGTGGGGGTGTTGGGAATAAGGACAGAGATATGAGACTCCATCCAGCAAGCAGTTAGCCACAGATCAGCCCTGGGGGACAGCTAATCGATGGGGCTGTCGTCCAGCCTCATCATCTAGCGAGTGCTGGCCCAATTTCCCCCTGATGAGCTGGAGGCCACAGTCTAGGGAGGCTGAAGGAAGGTTAGAGTAGAGGGGAGCGGAGGAGAGCAGGATGGGTGACAGTGCAGGGGAAGGTCACTGCTGATAAGGGAGGATGCTCCATACTGGAGCCCTGGAAGGAGAGACTGACACCAATTGGGTTCAGCACAGCTAAACTCAGCGACTGGTGCCTTGTATGTCACAAGTTAGGCTTGTTAGACAGGGGCCTAATAGCCAATAAGGGACACAGTTGTCACTTTGTGTATGATTGGTGTTGAGAACTGGGAGCCTGTGCAGCCAGCCTACTAGAGAACACAATTTCACTGCGTAATCCTGCACAATTTCAAGTAAAAATGACAATTGTTTTACAAATAAATGTCAGTTTATCTCCGCTCATGGAGATGATAGAACAGTGTGTCAACCAATAACCACTACAGATATTTTGAGCTTTCTGAAGACCCCAAATGTGTTGCCATCGAAGGTCAGATCCCTTAAGGTTTCGTCATAATGGGTTCACTCGTAATACACATTTTAGGGGCTGTCTGTTCCAAAGGCTGCAAACGGGGAATGCATTTGGAAGAACCTTTAGGATAGATGAACATGTGAGGCCGCATTTGAAATACTGACATGAAAGTGACACAGGAAAATCTATTTATGCATTCTTGTAAGGCTGGTGGAGTTCGTCGATATAATTGTCCTCATCGATAACAAAATGACGTGGATTTACATAACGTGCGATGGTGCCCGGTGAAAGCATCCATTCTCCAGAGAACAAGCTGCCGCTAAAAAAACCTCGCCCACGATCCTCGAAAGTGTGGAAGTATTTTAGACCCACAATGTGGTGCTCAGAGACCTGCAACCTGAAAATGGCTTATCTGCTATGCGAAAGTGAAAATCCTCCCAGACCGCTTCGTCAAGACAGCAGCAGGTCAGCACCGGGTCCTGTTTACTTCGTATATGTAGGGATTACACATTTCTGTTAGTAGTCACTTAAACGTGATTCTCTCAATGTTCTTTTCGCCTCCATGTTAAAAGAAATGACTGCAGCGTTGTTATTCATCCATTTTATATTTTCTGTTTATTTTACAGCCATTCATAAGTGACAAAATGTTTTTAGCGTATAAATTGTTTGCAAAAATACATTAGCCAGTGATTATCCTAACTGCATATTACTCCTTTTAAGTCAAGTACTGAAAAGAAGTCACAACAATCTGTTCCACTATTCTTCTATTCAGACATCTGACAACTAGGGTCTGTTATCTTGTTACATTTGTTTGAATTAAATATTTAAATATTAATCAGGAACGTTTTTGATATTTACTTCCTCGTTGTAGGGACTACTTGTTAGAGCCACTAACGAGGCAGTAAGTTGACACACATCATAGGGAGTATTTGTAGCATCCACTCCTGTCTCATGACAGTGTCGCATGTCTTTCGTGGTCTTTATACTCAGGCAGGGCAGGGTCATATTGAATTTCCTCACACTGAGAGAATGAGGAAAAAAAGCAAAGCGTTTTCAAATATAACAGCAGTAGACATTTAGCCCAGTAACTACAGTTACAGACATTTATAGACAGACAGAAACACGTCAGTCACCTCCTGAAATGATCCTCTCTACATTACACTCCCTCATCTTCAGTGTGTCCTTGTGCTGCCGTCTGATTGCCCAGCAGCAATCTGCCAAAGAAGATTTACAACATGCTGTTACAATTAAGAATCAGTGTCACAGGGCCAAGTGTTTCTGAACCTGTATGCATCCTAACAGTAATTAGATTTGCTGCAGTTGAGACTATTTTCTCTCTTTGACAATCTCCCTGTTTCTTCATTTGAGTGGAAAGTGAATACTCTAGTTAACACGGGCCTCCGAGGCAAATCGCTGGCATCGCAATACATCTTTTAAGTGTGTGCCTGTGGAAGCCATTCTTTCTCTTCCTCCTACAACAAGAGGTCTCTAAAGACTCATTAGTCACAGTCACCTCCAAGTAGAGGAAGGAGGGAAGTGAAGGCAGAACAGGGAGAGGGGAAGAGAAGCTGACTGACTGTAAAGATAGAAACCATGATATGATTGCCCAACTGTGTAGATACCAACAGATGTGGTGTTAAGGGGGAACTTAATGAAGGTTGAGCTATAGCTCCTATGAGCTGCTCACACAGTTACACATGTTATAAGCATATATGGGTGCCAAAATAAGGGAAGAACCTGAACCTGAGTAAATGCTAGATAATGAAAGCAGATGCTTCCACACAGGGTTCAGGGGCTCACTGAATGAGTTTGAAACTGCATTAAACCATATGCACAGACCTACATCGGTAGGGCTGAGACATGTTACAGTTGTTGATAACAATGCAGACGTTTAAGCCCCTTTCCCACTGGAGAAAAACCCCACTAACACCCACTAAGATCTAGATGGTGTCATCAGTGGGAAAGGTGACAATCAGAATCAATTCCAATACAAATGACTCACAGGTATTTATCAGCTTCAGCTCTGATCTGCAGTGATGGAAAAATGACACCATGGTGGACACGCTAGTTCCCGCCCCTTTATGAATATATAATTAAAAAATCAACAGAGATTTGGACAATTGTTAGAATTTATTAATGTACAAAACATACAATTAATATGCTCTTTTCAAAGCCACAAGACTCCATTGGCCGTGCTTTTGACGCGCTGATCATCGAAACACTTCAAACTCAACAGAAACAAATGAAAACTCATCAAAACACACTTGGTTAGTCTTTCCACTGTTTCAACAATCACCAACTCTGGTTTGGCAGAAATGAACCCATAATTCACAGAGTTAGATGTGAATACAAACAGACATTATACGTTCTCTTCAAAGCCAACAGACTACATAGACAGATAACAAAACCACCATTGTTAACCCTTCCACTGTTTCATAAGCAGATGGAGTTCATATTGTGTTTTTTGCCCACTTCCATGATATTCTCTCATACACAATAGTTACGGACATTTAAATTCATAAAAACAAAATAGAATATAACAGATATAAAACAAATCCATTTTCTACTGAAAGTCCAGTCGTACCATACCAATATGTCAGCATAGAGATCTGTATAAGAGATGCAATTGTTTTTAAGAAAGTGGAAATACTAGGGCAACACAAGGTCCTTTATTAGACAGGGCTGTGTTGGGCCCAGTGTAATATCCTCATCATAATTGGTGCACAGATGTCACATATGCTGTTGACATTTCACCGAGCAGAAACAATTTGGCCGTGTGAAATAAGTGGAGGGCTGGGATAAGAGCTGCGAGAAAGGGGGAGAAGGAAGAGGATGACAGAGAGGGAGAGAGTGACACTGCGAGTGGAGAGAGAGGGCGTAATAAAAACAATAAAGGGAGATCAAGTTAAAGTGGGAGTGGGCTGGGCCTCAGAAAAGACAGACTCTTAATAGATTCTGAGGAGGGAATGTGTCATTTTAACAGGACGTTTTTATTAGAGTCGATGACAGCGTGAAGCGCACCTCTGCCTCGGCTTAATCACTATGTCAAACAGACCACATGAATGGATATTACTGTTTAGTTAGGTAATGAAGGAGTGCTAGCATCCCGGCATTAACCACAATACTGTGCATGTGTAAGAGAAGAATTGTATTTCAGAATAAACTTTCCTCTCTGCTGAAAAAGATATCTCATCTTAAATAAGGAATGCCCCTCGAAAGCAGCTTCTAAACAGGGACTGCTTCTACATTAGTCAAACTAAAGCACCCATCCATCCTCGTCCCCTGCAGGTAACGTTAGCGATAACTACAGAGTCAGCTAATAAGAATGAGCCAATAATGAACGCTAACCACTTAGCTAATTGTTAAGGTGAGAATGTATTTGAAAGATTTTGGAACTTCTTGTATTGCTGCTCAAGATAGACTATTTGTTTACATACAAGAATAATAAAGCAATGACGAATCAAATCGATAAGTAGTATCGATAAGGAATCGAATCGATAGGTAGTATCG